GATAGATCACCTAGCAACAGCAGCCTTCATTCTGGCCATACAGTCGCCCGTGACTGTTACCACCATCTAGTGGCACGTGCAGTGATGTGATTGATAGTAAATTTATGGCATAATTCACAGCTAAACAAATGTTAAACCTGTTTCTTTAGAACTTGTTAAACCGTTCAATGTATTTTCTCCAAACCACAGGAAGTCCCTCATATCTCTGATGAGATCATGCAAATAAATCTAAAAACAAAGCATGCATGTATGCTGACAGATGAACCTGATTCTATGGCTTTTTCAAATATGATTTACATGGCTTTGTCGGGTTTTTAAAACTGTGCACTTTGCATTAGCACTTTATGCGATTGCACGGTATCTATGCGTGAAAATGTGTCCACATATTTTATTGTGATTATGTTTACTCTAATTATGAGAACGTAAACACATTAGCACAATCACAGTGTTCTGTTCAATCACTGTACTGCCTAAAAATCACATTAGGGTGCATGGAATGTTTTATCAGTCCTATTAGATCAGATTTGAAATCAGAACTGGGTGCAGAGGCAAAAACTCAACTCACATTCAAAAACAAACAAAGCTCCTGATTGGTCAGGTCAACACAAGATCTCAGGTTGCCCAACAAAGCAATCAGAATCGGGGGAGGGCCTCTGGGAACACATTTTGTGGATGGAAGAAAATACTTGGAATTTTGCCAAGAAAAATAAACAAGGCGAGAGAGAGAGGCCTAATAAAGGTATAAAGAAAGTACAGTGCATTATCAGTCATAAGATCTGATGGCAAAGAACGCAGCCTTCAGGAACAAATCAAAGGAAGTCACCTACAACTGCCCCTCATGCTACTTTTAGTTTAAAATATATAGACATAAACTATTAAAATACAGAATTAAATCTCATGGTGTTTACAAGGTAAACTGCACTATTACTATTCATACTTGGGGGAAGATTTTAAATTTAAATGTTAAATTTAGTTTTTTTCGTGCGTCTTTCCAAACATAGTTTGGAAACGTACTTGCGAATTGATTTTTTTGCTTGGGCCAGTAAGCAAACACTCAGAACCCCCTAGTAACGGCATAGCAACCACCATTCAAAAATCAAACAAAACAAACCAAAACAAAACACAAAACACAACAAAACAAAACAAAACAAAACAAAACAAAACAAAACAACAAAATCTAGCTGTAGTGTGTTTGGTAGAATAACATGTACAGATATGAAGAACCTATGAAAAAAAATAATTTTAACTTTTTTTTTTTTTTTTTTTTACTTTTCTGACTATTTTCTCACAATTTCAAGTTTACATCTCACAATTCTGAATTTATTTGCAATTGGGAGTTTATATCATGCAGTTCTTTAGAAAAAAGTCAGAATTGTGAGATAAAAAGTCACAATTACCTTCTTTAATTTTTTATTCAGTGGCGGAAATAGGCTTCCACAAGAACCAAATGCAGCTAGACGTGGATGAAAAGCGTTTGATAAGAACAGAGTCTGAGTGACCAAACAGGATGTGTTTTTGAGGGCTGGAGAGTGTGCTGACAAAATCAACAGGATATGGGCCAGTTTGGGTGCTGAAGATAGCGGTGAATGAACATGTCTGGTGTGTTTGTGTGCAACCTTTTATATATCGGTAAAAGTGCACATAATTTGAGAGCAATAAGTCAGTAAGACCATAATAAATTCACTGTCAGCAAAAAATAATCACGTACAAAACAAACATGAACACTTGGAATAATTAATATTTATAAATGTTTATGCTCACCAAGGCTCCATTTGTTTAGTCAAAAATACAGTTAAAACAGTAATATTGTGAAATATTATTACAATTTCAAATAACTGTTTTCTTTTTTTCATATATTTTAAAATTTAATTTAACTCTGTGATCAAACTCCATCATTACTCCAGTCTTCAGTGTCACATGATTCTTCGGAAATCTTTCTAATATGCTGATTTGCTGCTCAGTTATTACTGTTGCTCACTTATTAGTAATGGTTAATAATTATCAAATTAGTTTTTTTTTTGCTGCTTCAGAGGAATAGAAAGTTCAAATCTGAAATAGAAATCCTCTGTAACATTATAAATTAATTTACTGTCACTTTTGATCAATTTAATGGATCCTTGCGGAATAAAAATAAAAAAGTCAATAAACTAAAACTAAATCAGTTATAGCGATGCTTGCATTTGCATGGATACAGAAACAGAATAATAATAAATGAAGTCCTACATTCCAGTTTTTAAACAAAAAAAAAAAATGTAGAAAGACAGAGGGGAAGGAACCTAATGCATCATGGGAAGAAAAACAGCAGAGGAAGGATGAGATAAGATGGAGTGATAGTAAAAAGCTAAGTTCTAGTAGTCACTGTTTTTCTTTGTGTCAGCGTGATTTCTGATTGGCTGATTTTTTGCAGTGTGGGCAGTCCTTGTGAGTGGGTGAGAGTGAGCCGTTGCTAGTATGAGGAAATGAGCTTTGGCTGTGATAAAAAAAAGGGGGGAGCGTTGCCATGGTAACCCGGTGGGCCGTGTGCACAAAACATTTTGCAGCAAATGGAGGGGATTAAAAAGGGGTCGAATTTCAAAGCATCTAAACTTCCATCTTGAGTTGAGTCGTCTGATGCATTATCTGTGCGCGTTTGCTTTCACAGAATGCTTATTCAAAGCAGCTCTGCCATCAAAAGAGACACAAATCCTTCAAGGGTTAAGATTCCTTTTTATCCTCTGTCGAATTATTACAATAAACAGAATATTTAGCAGAGACTGAGCACAGAAACAAATATGCATAATCAGGGGCGCCGCTAGCAATTTTGGGCCCTATGAAAGAATATGAGGTTGGGCCCCCTACCGCACCAAACATACACTATATTGCCCAAAGCATTGGGAAAACTAAAAAAAAACTCATCGCCAAACACCAATGACTTGTACATATGCGTACAATCATTTTAGACACTTCCAAAACTGTGGCAAAAAAGATAAATATATTTAAATACATGAATTATGTTTCCATCTTTGATGCCACAGTTTTGGAAGTGCCTTTTTC